TAAGGACAGGGGAGACCAGAGGGAGCTCTATTGTGTACGAAATCAGGTTGGTGACGGGTGTGTGTGGTATTGCGGTGCTCACAGTAGTTTTTTTTTTGCGCTGTGTTTGTGTGTTTTGTGTACGTGTACTGAGCGTATACATGTACGTATGTACTCACAAGTGTTTGTGTCTCTGATTTTCTTTTGTGTGTTTACAAAGCCATAAAAAGTAGGGCGAAGACTGATGTGGCCATCTTATTGCACGAAAGAATTTTTATAATCAGTGGAATTTAGACTTTAAATTCCTTTTCATCTATTTTTCTGTATTCTGCATGATTATCTTTATGTACACAGACACACACACATATACATATGTGTCTATACACAAACACACATATATATGTGTTTACATATATATATGTGGGTATGTGTATGTATATATGTATGTATGCGCGCGCACGCGCGCGCACACACACAAACCCACACACCCACACCCACACACACACACACACACACACACACACACACACACACACACACACACACACACACACACACACACACATACACTTATATATGAAGGTCTACACATATTTATGAATAGTATGAATATTATATTTATCATACTGGCAGTTCTCAGTTCTCCACTCAGCCATTTACATGACAAAAACAACACATTCCTGTACCATGTTTTTTTCTTTCACTCTTGCAGAACAACATGCACTCAACGGCACTGTGCCTGCTAGCTCTGGCGTCTGGTGCTCTGGGCGTCTTCGGCCCCCTCGCCTCGCCTTGGGTTGACAGTAAGGGTGTCTTGTCTGTTTGTGTTGGATATTATGTTATATAAGAGCCAGTCTGTGAGTCCTTAGTCTGGATGCATGGTCTTTAGATTAATGTCTGGGTAAGAAAGTGGCTTCAGTTTGATATCGATAAAATTATGTGTCATGATCATTTCCACTATTATAATCTTGATCTTCATATCTGTTAAGCCTTTATTATGCCTCTCGATTCATGTTTGAAAATTAATATAACATATTTGATTGATTTGATTGTCACTATCATTCTTGTCCTCCTCTCGTCATCTCCATTATTATATATAATTACAAAATCATTTTCATCGTTCATCACCTTTTCATTACCCTCATTATCCTTATTCAGTCCTATAATTACCATCATCATCCATCATTACATAATTACCATCTCATTGGCATCCCTTTATGACTACCACCATAATCTTTCATCACATTATGATCATCTTATCTCTCAATCCTTTTTCATTACTACCATTATCTTTCACCAAATCAATAGCTATCTTATATCTCGTAATATCTTCATGCCCATCATTATCTCTCATCTCTTTGTCATTCCCATCATTATCTCTCATCCCTTTATCATTCCCATCCATCCCATCCTCACTGTCTCGTCCCATCCTCGCGGCCAGCCTCGATGTGCCCCCCCACCGACTCCCTGATGGCGTGCCAGCTGAAGAAGGGCCAGTGCTCCCCCGTGGGCTCCGTGTTCTCCCCCCCGGGCGGCCCCGTCAAGGCCATCGCCTCCTGCGCCAACACCACCGGCGTCGCCCTCGGCCCGCAGTTCTTCATGAGCATTGGTTGGTTGAGAGTAATAGGGTTGTTAGGTGTATGGTTGAGGAATGTAATGGTGGTGGTGTAAAAGGTATTTAGTTTGTGTGTGTGTGTGTGTGTGTGTGTGTGTGTGTGTGTGTGTGTGTGTGTGTGTGTGTGTGTGTGTGCCCGCGTGTATTTTTCTGTACGGGTGTAAGAATATGTTTTTATTTATTACTTATTTATCATTTTTTAACGTAGTCATATATTTTCCATCGTGTTATAACTTAGCGCTTATCATCTCTCTTTGTCCCAATCCAATGCCGGTGAACAGGTCTAGCCTTTGTCACTGGGAAGCCGGAGAGCCTGCCTGACATGATTCCCGCTGACGCCGCCTCGCTGACAGCCATCCGCCGCTGTTCCCTCAACGCCACTGGCCTGGTCAGTGTCCGTTTATGTTGTTGAATAACAGATAGAAGGAAAAAGATCATCATCATTACGTCATTGGTACTTTTTATCCTTTGATAGTTTATGCGCATATGAAAAAAATATTTTCGCACCACAACAGATGTTACTCTTTCAGCTCGGCAACGACACGGCACTCAACCGCACTGCCGTCGCCGCCTCCTTCTCCGCCGCCTTCAGCGACCCCGGCCTGGCCGCTGCCGTCGCCTCCGCCGTTGCTTCTTGCCCCGAACCTGTTGATTACAAGATAAGCGACTTCATCACCTGCCTGAGGACGGCCTGCATGAACAACGCGGTCGTCTCTCCCTTCGTGCAGACGGCCGCCTCACCTGCGCAGAGCTCGTGGCCTGCGCCTTCTGTGGCGTCCTCACTCTTCGTCGGTTCTTCCCCCTTTATGAAGTTCTCGCCGGCGTCCGCACCTTCCGCGCCCTCTTCCGCGCCTCCTTCAACCATGAGCCCCCCTTCCGCCGTCAGGACGCCAGCGACCACGGGCATTCCACCGAACATGGCCTCCCCGAACTCCATGCAAACACTGCCTGCAGCAGCGCCTTACGCCTGGCCTGGACCTGCCCTGAGGACCCTCCCCTTCACCGGCGTTCCTGGGGTGATGGCTCAGGCTCCGACGTATTAAAATAAGGTCCTTGTCTTTTTCCTTGTCATTAATGGGGTGGAGGTGCCAAGCATGTGACGTGCTGGGAGTCACATTCATAACTCTAGTCTTCATCGCTTTCATAATGTATCTTGAAATGAAACAGCCACAGAAAGAAAAGGAAACACATAGCTTATGCTTCGACTCAAACTGTACTCCTCGTCAAATGATAAAACCTTGTTTCATTTCACCTTCGTACACACGGTACTATATATGTATTCTTTTGTCCAGACAGTATCTTATCTTACGAACTACGAGCCGGAAAATAACGAGAATAGATAGTAAACTGACAAATTCATAATGAAACAGAAAAAGTGTTTCGAATTACGGGTTACGAGATTACGAGAGAAAAAAAAGAAAACTGATAAACATTGGATGAAACATAAAACGTGTTTCAAAATACGTGTTACGAGCCAGAGGTCAGTGTGTCACACGGTCTCAAAAATAAATCAATTAATAAATGAATGAATGACTGGATAAATGGATAGGTAGATAGATGAATCGATAGATTAGATAAATAGATGAATAGATAGATAGATGGGTAGATAATGTAAATAAGTTAATAGACAAGTCAGTGAATGAATAAAAATACACGTAAATACGTAAACAAAAACAAATAAAAAAGAACAAACAGTAGAAATAAAAAGACAAAATAAGAGTGTAAATATATTACTAATGAAGAATACAAATAAAATAAAATTCATATAATCATAAATGGATTACGGAAATCGAAAGAAAAAAATCTTATCAGATTTTTCTTTTCTTTTCTTTTCCATTTCACATAAAAAAATATCTAATTTACGCTATTTCCTTTTCTTCTCTTTTCCTTTAGTTTCCCCTTTCCCTCTGGGTCGAGGAAAATGGCACCCTTCGCTTCGTTTCATTTTATGGAGATATTGTTAGTGAAAGAGAAAAAAAAAACTAGTTATTATGATGATCAAATTTATCATAATTGTTTAAATATCAGAATTGTCATTATCATTACCTATATTATTATCATGAATATTATTATCCTTTTATTATTATCATTATTATTATTACTATAATTATTATCATTATCATTAGCATTAATGTTACCATAATTATTTCATTATTGTTATCATTATTATCATTTATAATTCATCTTCTTCTTATTATCATTATTATTATCATCATTATCATCATTATCAATATAATCATTATTACCATTATTATTATTATTATTATTATCATTATTATTATTATTATTATTATTATTATTATTATTATTATAATAATTATTATTATTATTATCATTATCATTATCATTATCATTATCATTATCATTATCATTATCATTATCATTATCATTATCATTATTATTATTATTATTATTATTATTATTGTTAACATTATCATCATTGTTATTATTATTGACATTAGCATTATTCTTAATATGCCGTGATACAAAATGAGAAGAAAACCGAAAATCGAAAAATAACAGTGCCTACGCGTGACACTTTCACGCTCTCTCTCTCTCTCTCTCTCTCTCTCTCTCTCTCTCTCTCTCTCTCTCTCTCTCTCTCTCTCTCTCTCTCTCTCTCTCTCTCTCTCTCTCTCTCTCATTCTCTCATTCTCTCCTTTCTTTTCTTCCCTTTGTATGTAACATCACGAGAGAGAGAGAGAAAAAAGGAAAAAGGCACTAATAAACAGATCATGATACAGAACAAGTGTTTCAAATCACGAGTTATGAGCCGGTGATCAGCGGTTCATTCGATCTCAAATGGATAAAAGATTGATCGAAAATTGATCGAAAAACAAACAAATGAATAAACAGACAAATGAGTAAATGAGCAAATAGATAGGTGGAGAGATAGATGGGTATATAAGTAAATGGATAGACAGATAGATAGGTAGGTAGATAGATAGGCAAACAAGTAAATTGATAGAAAAATCGATAGATAGGTAGATAGATAAATAGATAAATGAATAGATAATTGAAGAGAAGAAGGATTGTGGATAAGAATATATAAGTATGCAGATAGATGAATATATGATAAATCTAAACAGATGGAAATAAATCAATAAATGAAAAAAATACATATGAATAGATAAATAAATGAATAAATGAAACAAATACATATGAATAGATAAATAAATGAATAAATGAAAAAAAATACATATGAATAGATAAATAAATGAATAAATAAGTACACAGAATAAATGAAAATACAGAATAAATAAGTGAATATATAACTAATGACGAACAAATTGATTACGGAAAACGAGATAAAAAAAAACATTCGATTCTTAATAACAGGAATTCCAGAAACACTAGACATTCTTTTTTTCTTTCAGTAAAAAGTCATCTGATTCGCGTTGTTTCCTTTTCTTTTATCTTCCTTTAGTTTCCGTGTTTTTATTTCCTTTCGTACTTTACACAGATTTTTCGATCATTCTGTGTATTACGTCATTAAATGGAGAGACTGTGTTGTGACGTCATCCTTCGCTTCGTCGTTGTTAAGGAAAAAAAATGCTATTGTTATTGTTGTTTTCATTATCATTGGTTTTATTATCAACGTTGTCCTTATCATTATCATTATTGTTATTACCATTTTCTTTATTATCGTAATAATAGTAATAATTGTTATTATTTGTTATTATTATTATTATTATCATTATCATTATTATCATTATTATTGTTGTTATTATTATCATTATTATTATTGTCATTATTATGTCTATTATTATTATTATTACTATCAGCATCTATACATTTTTTATTACATTTATCATTATTATTAGTTTTACAGTTATTATTATAATTACCATTACCATTATCAATATCATCATAATTATCTTTGTTATTGTAATTTATGTAAGCTGCCGTGATACAAAATTAGAAGAAAATCGAGAAAAGTCAACGGCGCCTACGCGAACCTGGAACTCACGGCCGCCGATTCCGAGGCAAAGGCGGTGCCACTGAGCTACGGAAGGTAAACGTCTATGGGGAAAGAAAGGAGTGTCTCTCTCTCTCTTGTCTCTCTTCTCTCTCTCTCTCCCTCATTCTCTTCTCTGTCTGTCTGTCTCTGTCTGTCTCTGTCTGTCTGTCTGTCTCTCTCTCTCTCTCTCTCTCTCTCTCTCTCTCTCTCTCTCTCTCTCTCTCTCTCTCTCTCTCTCTCTCTCTCTCTCTCTCTCTCTCTCTCTCTCCACTGAGCTACGGATGCTAAACGTCTAAGTGGAAAAAAGGAATACTTAAATATCTTATTTCCTTTGTTTATAGTTTGGATTTTGGGTTAGCGTTCTCTTCCTTAGTGACCGGAGTCGGAGAATCTGTCTTTATTGTGTTATTTCGTTCGTAAAGCGTTTAAAAAGGTGGACGTGACAACTCGCTGTTAGTCTTGTTGGCTGGTAGGGAGTCATTCCTGTGATACTGAAAAAAAATCTTTCTGTGTTATCTCTTTCTCCCTCATCCTGTGATCCCTCTCTCTCTTTCTCATTCTCTCTCTCTCTGTCCCCTCTCTCTCTCTCTCTCTCTCTCTCTCTCTCTCTCTCTCTCTCTCTCTCTCTCTCTCTCTCTCTCTCTCTCTCTCCCTCAGAAGGTTCAATTCAGTGAAGATTATTCATTTTTATTTTTCCCTTGTTCATTTTGAAAAGAAAAAAACGTCGGCGCTTGCATGAGCGCTGAATGAACGCAGAAGCGCCGTTGGCAATACTTCTCAATCTCCACAGAATGAAAAAGAAGAAAATGAAAACAGAATAAAAGAACATAGACATATGCATACATACTTCTATATATACATATATATATATATGTATTCATTTATATGAATATATATGTACATATATATATATATATATATATATATATATATATATATATATATATATATATATATATATATATATATATAAATATATGTATGCACACACACACACACACACACACACACACACACACACACACACACACACACACACACACACACACACACACACACACACACACACACACAAAGACACACACACACACACACGTGTATATATATATATATATATATATATATATATATATATATATATATATATATATATATATATATATATATATAGATATAGATATAGATATATATGTATATATATATATATATATATGTATATACATACATATGCATAAATATATGTATATACATATATATGGATATATATATACATATACACATAAGCACATACATATTTATGTATAAATGTATAAATATATGTATATATATGTATATGTATATACATATATGTATATATGCATGTATATAAAATATATAAAATAGATAAATAAATAAATAAATATATATATATATTTATATATATATATATATATATATATATATATATATATATATATATATATATATATATATATATATATATATACATACCTAAGCATACATGTATATATATGTATATGCATACACAAATATATATATGTATATATATACTCACATACATACATATATATACATATGCATAAATACATACATACATACATATATATATATATATATATATATATATATATATATATATATATATATATATATATATATGTATATATATATATATATATATATATATATATATATATATATATATATATATATATATATATACATATATATTTATACATATATATATTTCATCAACGGAAGGGCCTGGGCTGATCCGCCGTGGCACACACGACGGTTGTCCTCCAGCATTCTTGATTTTTTGAACACCCGTTTTGCGTGTAGACATGAGCTAAGGCAGGGGAGGGGGAGGCCCCAAATCTCTTTCATTGACCGCAGTGCTTGCTAACTGAGCAAAAGATCTCTGTCATTTGTTTGTCTTCTGCCAGACATCAGGAACTGAAAATGGCCATTGTCCGCGATTGTCCGCCGTATGCCCACCTCCGCAATCCACTACCCTGCTGCCAGTAGTTTCACCGTAACCCTGGCAAGGGAAGCTAATGGGGTGCTACTCCTTGCCTAAGGGAGCCCCAGGGTGCAGTCTAAGGTCGTTTAACCAGGACATTATATATATACATATGTATAAATGCACATATATATAGAGAGAGAGAGACAGAGAGAAAAGATATGCATGACAATGAATATCTTCACAATACAAGAGATATTTGACCGGTTTCAACTGTATCTTCGTCAGAAATACATGCATTTCTGTCGAGATCAATCGAAACCGGTCAAATCTGTGTGTGTGTTTGTGTGTGGTGCGTGTGTGTACGTATGCATACTCATTCATTCATCCTCAGAAACAAATGATTTTTTTTTATGAAAAGATAA